GTACCACTACCATTATTCTGATTTGGCATTATACCATCCCCTTGATTTGAAGTAGAGGGACCGAAAGGTGATTCTACCTCTTGACTTGGATTTAGGACTGGGAGATTATGTCCCATAATTGTCCTAGTTTGAAAGTGGTTTGCAAGAGGCATAACTGGTTGACAAATTTGGCCTACTAACTTATTCATTATTTCGTTCAAAGTATTTAGTTGTTTGGTCATGTTGTCATAATGTGCATTCCCATTCTGGGTAAATCTTTCCATATTATGAATGTTTCGAAGATTTACCTATTCAACGACATCTTGTGTGAGTTCTCCAAGTAGTGCACTCATAGTTCGAGAACTCAACTCTGTTATTGATTCGTAACGATTGTTACTGCTCTGATTCTGTCCATCTGTTCGTAGAGAGCTATGCTGGTCCTCATATCGCTCGATCACAGACTGGACTTCTCCCTGACTTGCTGCTTCCTTATCGGATCTCTGAGGCATATTGTTTCACATTTTGTATCTTCAACACCAAACACCACTGTCCCACTGGGCGTGCCAAATTGTTTCGCGCGGGTTAGTCGCTAACAATTAAAAAAAGATCAGACGATTGTGTAAGGGACAAACCTCTTGCGACAAAGTTCCAAAAAGGGGTGTTTTTATTGGCATGACTTTACAATTGAAAAATAAAAACAGAATGCCTCCAAGGGGCGCAAGCACACGAATTATTGAAAAGAAGTGTTTAAATCTAAACTAAGAAATTGAAAGTTACATATTTTCTGTTTGAGAGTATTTGATTCGGGGTCCTTTGCTCTATGTCTTTTCTTCCTTTTATACGCTCTGGATGATCTCTTCGTAATCAACCGCTTAAAAACTATTTGATCTCTCTATAACTGTCCACTTTCTTCATAGTGGCCAACTTGTCATGGAACTGCCTTCTCTAACTGCTGCCATTACTTTTGTCTTTCAACCATCTTCAATTGAATTTCTTAAATCGTGGAACGTGATAGGGCTACTCAATAACTGTTTTATTAACGGCACCTTTGGGTAACCATAACATCTTATGTTTGCTAAAATCTTGGGCGACTCGAAGGTTTGAGCGAAAACAGGGTCACAGTTCTGGGCGACTGCATGGCAATCCATTCGCTCAAATCTTAGGCGATTTGTAACCTTGGACGATGGTATTACCGCGTTCATGGGCTTCCCTATTTGGACCTTTATCCTGCATTGCTTGATTGGGCCGTTCTTTGGGCTATCTGATTTGGGGATCCTCCAATTGAATATTATTCCTGGGTTTATTCGATTTGGACTGAACTTTTGTGTGTCAACAATATCAAATTACACCCTTCTTTTTTCTTTGAATGGTGATATTTTTTTGTGTAAGATTCATAAAATTTATTATCTTCTTTTCCGAACTCCAACATTTTTAGTTAGTTGAAAACGTATTGAAAAATGTAGAAATACTTTTTTGACTCTTCCAATATTGTTAAAACTAAATAAAAACTCCTAATCTCTATCTTTTAATTAATAATTTTTGTTAAAAGAATAAAAACTAAAAACAATTCAAGCAAAAAAATTATGTTATTTGTTATTTTCTCGCTAAAAACCAATTTCTTATTTATTTTAAGTGGTGATAATTTGACAACCTAAAAATTGTCAAACATACTTGTTTAATTTATTATTATTATTATTTTATTTTATTTTTTACTGAGAAAGCTTCGTACAAGACAAGTGTATAGATAAAATTTACTAAACATATACATTTTTGCGATAAAAAGTGAAATTGGAAAAAATTAATTAAATAATGTGTGGAGAAATTTGATGAATGTTTAGTAACGAAGGAATAGAAGGAAGAGAAAAAGAAATAATAATTGAAGCTTTGTGGAACAAAAAATCTATTATTATTTTTTTAGAGAAAGCGTTACATAATATAATACAAACATTGTGATTTGTTATTTTTGATATGGGTATGTTGATCTATTCAAAAAATTTGTCACCATACTCTAAATTGTAGTATGTAAAATCCAAAATTATAAAATACAATATGTAAAGTGTAAATACAACTATACACGGGATGTATTTCGTAAATCAAATCGCCCAACCAAAGGATTGAAAACTTTTATTCGTTTACACTATATATATAGGATGTATTTTGTAAATTCCTCCCAACAATTGAAAACATTTAGTTTACATATTCACACCACAATTTGTGTTAATTACACCATAATCATAATGAAAGTTCTTAAATTTTGTTCATTTTCACACTCATGTTTCAACTTCTTTTTGTCTTATTTAATCTCAAATTTATTTTAAGTAAAAAATCTTGTTTCAGTCAAAATTTGTTAGGATATAGTATACTAAATATTGCCTTTCGTATTTTAAATAGTAAGATAAACAACTAATATACATATGTTTGACAAAATATTTTAACATATATTTGGACAAAAGTCATTATAAGCGACAAATATGTTAATTAACTGAATGTTAGAGATAAAAATGAGAAGGAAAAGGTTGAAGGTGTTAATGCAAAAATGACCAAAACTTGAGGCCCTTTATTGCAATTAAAATACGATGCAGTTAACAAAAATTTTAGAGTGAATTTGATTCACCCTTAATTTTATCGATTTTGCTAGTAGTACATTGGGGTGTACTTAACGGTGTACACCCCTCACATGGACGAGGGACCCACTCGAATAAAATATCATTTTTTTCACATGGTCCCACATTCATGTGAGTGGGGTGTACACCATTCGGTACACCTCATTATGTACCACTAGACAAATTCTAATTTTATTCCTGATGCTTATAAATTAATATTTTAATGATGTTTAATAAAAAAAATAAATTGTGAAACTACCATCTTACAGCTTAAAATAATACCGATTCTTTCTTAATCAATTTTTCTTCCTCTTCTTTTTTTCTTCCCACTAAAATTCATGGGACTCCAAAAGCAGTTCCATATGAATGTGGTTGAATGTGATGATTTAAGCTCGGTTTGTTAGCAATTTTTCACCCAAAAAAATCTATTTTTTTATCATTATTTTACTATTCCAACTTTTATTTTTGACTTCTCCATTCACAGGTGAAACTCACTTTTCTCTCTAACAATCAAAAAATCAATTCCCATAATTATTATCGAACGGGCCTATAGTGATCTTGCCCCTCTAATGGTTTAACTTTGCGAGATATTATAGATTAGAATAAAATAATCAATTGTATCATCACTTTTGCAAGGAATCCAAAATCGATTTTAATTGGGTTGATAGTTTGCCACTTCTCATTACACCTATTAATTGCGAATTGCGATGATTGTCTTTATTATATTTTCCTATTTGAAGTTTGAAAAAAATAAAGGGAAAATTGCAGTCGAGGTATCAAACCTTTCGTTTATTAACAGACTTTGCCCAAACCTTTAGTTTATATCAGCCATGATATCTAACCTTTCAAAAATTCGCGATTGAAATTCAAATGGATGGAAACTGTTAGTTTGACTGTTAATTTACCAAAAAATTAACATTGACCATAAATTTGACTAATTTTAAAAGGACAAAATGGTAAAACTATATTTTTCAACAAAAAATATAATTACAATATATTAATAATTAAATTTAAAAAAAATCCGAAAAAACACTGTTCATCTTCTTCTTTATTTACCTCCCTCACACCCACCCACGTATCCCAAAATCAAAACCCACCAAAATTGGATGCGGTTCTCTGCTCCACTTAAAGAACACAAAGATGGCTGTTTTAGAAGACCCTAATATTGGGCCTTCGCCTAAGAACAAGATTTGAGCGTGGAAGTTTCTAATCGTGAAGAAGAAATCGCAGGAACATAAATCGAATGGTTTGGCGGCTGCTGTGGCTTGTACCAAGTGTGAAAAGACAAATGGGAGATCGAAGTGTTTGTGTGTGGCCTATGAGAGTCTGAGGGCTTCTCAAGAAGAATTTTTCGAAAATTGTGGTAAAATAGGTGATGAGGTTGATTTCAAGAAGTTAAAGGAATGCGATAGTGGAGTCGATGGGAAGGAGAACGAAATCAATTCCATGAATTAGAATACAGAGTTTGAATATGAATCCGAGGTGATATCCTTGAGATTAACAGGGAAAATGAAGAGAATTTGAATGGGAATGTGGTGAATGGTGAAATGGGTATGAAGAGAATGAGGGCTAAACTATTGGAAGAGGCAAGAAAGAGTGTGTCGGATCCAGGGGCTGGATTAAACGGGCATTGCTTGGATTGCAAAAACCACCTGAGGTTTCAGAAACATAGGTTTTGGGAGGAGGTAAGTGGTGAAGAAGATGAAAAGTGTTTTTGTTTTGGTTTTTTTTTTTTAAAAAATTTAATTATTAATATATTGTAATTATGTTTTTGTTGAAAAATGTAGATTTACCATTTTATAATTTTAAAATCAGTCAAAATTATGGTCAATGTTAATTTTTTGGTCAACTAACTGTCTAATTAACAGTTTTCATCCATTTGGACTTTAATCGCGAATTTTTGAAAGATTTGGTATCATGAGTGACACAAACTAAAGGTTTGGGCAAAGTCTGCTAATAAACGAAAGGTTTGGTACCTCAACTGCAATTTTCCCAAAAGAAAATCAAGAACTACACCATGCACAAGTAGAATTTATGCTGTAATTTCTTAAATTATAAATAAGTTGGAAATATTACTTTGCCCGAAAATATTTGACACTCGGGGTGATCGGTCCTTACAAAGTGCGCGAATCCCACGTGAATTAAATAATGTCCAATTCTCAAGGTGTGTGTTCAATGATCCTCTCATATCAACTATTATGATCCCCTAGCTCGATCAAAATAAATTTATAAAAATTAATAAAACCCTATCAGAAGAAATTGTCAATTCTTGATTTGGAAGAACATCCTTAAAGTCACAGATGTAGGCACGTATGAGTTTCCAGTTTCAACACGCGGTCCGCGTCCACATAATGTTCGCTTCTTCAAATCGTTTCGTGCACTCCACCTCTTCCACGTTAAGTAATCCAAGAAACAGAAAAAGAAAGAAAATGACAATTTATGTACTTTGAGACTAGTGTGAATTACAATTATGATATTTTCTTGGATTTTAGAGAAAGCACACGTTGTAAGCAACCTAAATGTGTTTTATCATCTCTCTTTCTGGAGTGTTGTCGAATAAAAAATTAGAACACCTAGTTATTTATTAATTTATTATTAACGTATTTACTTAAAGCGGTAGCCACACTCTCCTGGAATCTTGGGAGTTCATCGAATGAAATCTTGAATTTTATTTAGAGGTAATATATGTTTTTGAATTCTTTTTCTGTGTTACTTTAGTGATTCAATCTTCCTGCTAATTTTATATGGTTCTGGAGTTGTTGGTCATGCCGCTTGATTTTGATTTTGATTCGGTGGGAAAAAAATTTAATTGTTGTAAAGGGCAAATGATATCTGTGTGGAAATCTTAGCTGAACAGTTTTACCGCGTTCTATCCATTTCTTTTTTCGGCACCGAAATTTGAATTATGTATGAGAAGATGTACATGGTATAGTGGTGTCGAATGTAAGAAGATGCTTAATTTAATTTTATCAGTTGGTGTTTGATAAAGGATTCTTAATTTATGTCAAATCATAGTAATTATTAGCAAACAATTCAATTGATCGAAACCCAGTTTTTCAAGTTTTTTCTTTTTTAAGAGGAAGGTTTGTTATCCTTGTCCCAAGTCATTAGAAATTTATTGTTATAGAGAGATGAGTTTCAATGACCGGCTTTGAGGTGCTCAACTTGGTTGATTTTGAAATGAATTTTCAAGAATTCTCATGTATGATGTTATTTGAACTGAGTTTGAGCAAGCCTCTATGTACCATGAGTTTGAGTAGCTTAGTTACTTTACACTGTATTTTGTTGAATTTAGCCCCTGTTTGATGGCATTATTTGGGAATGGTCATTTTTAGGAGAATGTTTGGTTTAAAAGAATGAAAAAGTTTTGGATTTATGTGCTAAATATTTTATTAATGTGGTTGAAATTGAGTATGTAGAGAAAAGGGTTTTCAAATAATGGTTGTCAAACTTTTGTTTAATAAAATGAGTCGGGCTCGACTGAAGCTGGAGAAGTTTGAGACTAGGGCTGATTCAAGCTTTACTCATTGAACTGTCAAACACTGATCTTGAATGAGCATTAGACGGGTGAGCCCTTACTGATTCTGCACTGCTTTAGCCTATTTACAACTCTAGTCAAAGAGGTAAAATTGATGACTGAATATTATCATCTCAGCTTGTGATTTATGTACGTCATGTCAAGTGTTGTTCCCTTCCAAGCTAGTCTACTGTCTACAGCAGGGGTTTCTAACTCGGTCTGTTGGTCTTTCTCAAACCCTTTGTAACACAGGCAATCAAGAAACAGTAGAATAATTCCTAATAATAGTGTTGGTTTGACAAAATGATTTTAAATGAAGCCTAAGCAAATAAACAGAACATATTTGTAACTGCATATATTAGGGTGAGCTTGATTTTTGTCATTCTTTGTAGTGTGAGGTTGATAATCACTTGTCATTTTTAACTTCTTAATATGATTACTTCTTTCAGAACTCTAATCTTGGGAATGGAAATTATATCCTGCCATTCTGCGCTCTGCTTTCATGTGGTAAATTTTGGTTATAGAGATGACATAAATTTGTGTCGTTCCAAGCTTCCCATTGTAAAAGGAAAATTGCCATTCCACGTTGTGGTTCGACCTGGTTGTGGATCTTCAAGATATTGTCATGCCAATATTTTAAGGTTAAAGAGATTAAACAGGTGTCAACCTTCTAGAACTGTGTGTTCACTAAGCAGCGATGAAAATGTTAATTCAATCTTCTTAAGTGAAAGCTATAACTCTCACGTACTCGATGGGGAAGAAGATGTGATTAGTGTGATTGGTCGTGGCAAGTCAGTACCTAAGGTCTTGATTCCTGGTTTGCCAGATGATTCAAATGGAGATTCTGTAGCTCCCGTTAGCAGTTGTTATTGGGAGTGGAAGCCTAAACTAAATGTCCATTATGAGAAATCGGGATCTGAAAATCTAGATTCCCCACCAGTGCTTTTCCTTCCTGGATTTGGCGTGGGCTCCTTTCATTATGAAAAGCAGCTAAAGGATCTTGGACGCGATTATAGAGCATGGGCGCTTGATTTTCTGGGTCAGGGCATGTCCTTGCCATCTGAAGATCCAACTTTGCGGCGTAAAGATGGAAACAAATCTATATTAGATGGAGAAAATCATGTTTGGGGTTTTGGAGATGAAAGTGAAACTTGGGCAGAAGAACTTGTTTATTCAGTTGACTTGTGGAGGGACCAAGTGCGCTATTTTGTAGAAGAGGTACACTAAAACTTTGTGCTTATCTTGTTCATACCCACAGCTTTTTGTGCTTTTTTTATTTGTTTCCTGCATGTATATTGAGGCAAGTCTTGCTCTTACATTGATGTCCTTTATCAATTCTAATCTAATGGCGGATAGTATTCTACCGTTTACACAGTAATTAAGGTCATGGTAGTTTGATTCTCTCAGTATCTCCTAAAAAAAAGAGCCAATTTTTTCATTTAGTGTCTGTTTGAGCGACATTAGTTTGAAAGAATGTATTTTGGAATAGTAGATTGATAGAGAATGTGTAGTTACAAAATAAGAAAGTTTTGGATTTGTGTTTAATATTATTTTATTGAAGAATGTGTAGTTGAAATAATGTCAAATCACTATTTAAGAATGTATATATATATATATATATTTTAAAGAATGCAGCTCAAGTAGCCTCAATCCCAAAATATTAAGAGCCTATTTGGAGTGATTTTGATAATTGATTTTTTGACCGTTACGAAAAAAGTGGGGTCCACCTGTGAGAGAAAAAGTCAAATATGACGGCTGGAATAGTGAAATAACGGTCAAAAAATCAATTTTTTAGGTAAAAAAATCACTCCCAAACATGCTGTAACTTTAAAAACCCTAAGAAGTGATAATCAAGGCGTGTAAAATTTTGAAAATTGAAAAGATAGTGATTGTTCTCTGAAGAAACTCGGAATGGATGTGTATATTAGTTTTGAAGGTGATAGGTGATGAATGATTTGCAAATCTTCATCCTAAAACTTCCAAGGCAATATCATCTTTTGTGTTCCAAATATTTTTATTCTCCTTGTTTTCTAAAGGATGATTTCCCATCCATATGAAACCGCAATGCTTATATCTGATATTTTGAATTCGTGAAAGGGACTATTTTGTGTTTTGTGTAACGGTTTCCTCATTACTAACTCACCATGACTTCATTAGGACTTATTCACCAAGGAAAAGTTTGTTGTTAATCATCCTGTACACAATGGAGAATGGACCCCTTTCTCTAGATGATATGTCAGAAATCTGAAACATAACTAATGAATTTAAAGTAACGAAGACTTATGTTCCTAATATCGTCCTCTAACTTAATAAGGTGACATTAGAGCATAAGTTTTGAAGGGATGTTTTGTTATTGCCATCATTTTGGCATTTTTGATGTAAGTGGATACCTGTATTGTACATTCATCATTTTTATGGATGTTAGCATCTGTCTTTTGAGCTGCCTCTGGCACAAGCTCTAGTGGTGTTATTTAGCTTTGCAGTAATATTATACTGTAGTGCTGATTATTGGAATCATGCATTGCGATCATTTCCATTGACCATTGTATTACTTCTGCATTGCAAGGGCGGCAAATTATCACCCTAGGATATTGTTGTATAACTGTTTTGGATATTTTGCAGATAAAATTGTTAAAACAATTTGGAAGAGAGATGAATCAATAATCTGCTAATGTTTCAGGTCATTAAGGAACCAGTTTATCTTGTGGGAAATTCGCTTGGAGGATTTGTCGCACTCTATTTTGCAGCTTACCACCCTCAATTGGTGAAGGGTGTAACCTTACTCAACTCCACGCCTTTCTGGGGGTTTCTCCCTAATCCTGCAAGATCTCCAAGATTATCGAGACTATTTCCATGGGCCGGAACATTTCCTCTTCCTTCCAGTGTTAGAAAGTTAATAGAAGTTCTGTAAGTTCTATGATCCTATCATTTATTAGGCCACAGCATGAAGTCGCTCCTATAGATTTTCACTGTTGAAAATATGGCAGACACTAGAATAATCATTAAACTTTATGGATTTGATTTTAAGATGTTAAGATTTAATTCATGTTCTACTTCTATCTACATGAAAGAAAATTATGGAACCCCTCGCCACACATATAGAGACGCTCTTTTCCCCCTGTTTTTGGCTTTAGTGATGTTTTTGGCAGATAAAAGCTATGGATCATCTCTCAAAATCCATTATTTTTTGCCACCATGTGTTACCCAATTATCATCATTTCTTTTTCCTTTTCCATTGTAGATGGCAGAAAGTTAGTGATCCAAGAAGTATCGAGGAAATTCTTAGGCAAGTTTATGCAGATCATTCAACCAAGGTCGATAAGGTGTTTTCTCGTATAATCGAGACAGCACAACATCCAGCGGCTGCAGCATCTTTTGCCTCTATCATGTTTGCTCCTCAAGGCCAATTATCCTTCAAGGAAGCGTTATCTAGGTAGGTTCCTTAGGAGCACACATTGTGTCTGATGAATGATAAGTAAAATTCTCAAATTTCCTTCCAAGCTAAGGAATTCCAGCTTGTTGATAAGTGTAGGTGTCAGATGAATGATATACCCATTTGTCTCGTGTATGGGAAGGAAGATCCTTGGGTGACTCCTATCTGGGGTTTTCAGGTAAAATCTCAACTCCAGGAAGCTCCATATTATGAGATTAGCCCAGCCGGTCACTGCCCACATGATGAAGTTCCAGAGGTAAGCAACTTGATGCTGATGATTTAGATTTGACTTCATAGTTTGAGTCAGTTATTTTTTGTTTACAGAACAATGAGAACTATTTTCAGAATTGATCTCATGGTGTAGAAATTGGTATTCAATGGACAATTTCCTTTCTTCTTTAAAAGTTAACACTAAAGGAAATTGATGCAGGGAGATTAATAAATCTGTGAATAACAAGAAGGGATGGGGGAGGGAAGAGAAGAAGAATACAGAGGAGGGGAAGAGGGGAAAAACGGCTGCAAGCGAAATCTTTAATTAATCAAATTCATCATCCCAAATAACAATGTAAGATAGGTTTAAATACTGGAAAATAATGCAAACCTAGGGCCAAGCCCAATACAAAAGTCCATAAAATTAAAATAACCTAAATTCCAACTAAAATAATTAAAATTGCTAAAATTAATTAAAATTGGATGTCCTCATCAATCCTCCCGGGGTGGGAGAGAAAACTCGACCCTGTCGAGTGGCTATATCACCATAGGCATCTGTCAATCTCCCAACCATAAGCTGAGTGGCTGGGCAAGCTTCTTCCTGCGTCTGTAGAAATGCGTCAGTGGCGGTCTGAACCTGGTGTCCTCACCAACTCCCCTCGGGTGAACGGGAGGCGATCTGGGCCAAGGAAGATCCTGCTGACTCCGATAAAGCTCTAGCAAATCTGGATCCAAATGCTGTAGTGTCTCCCTGGAGATCCATGCACAATCAGAATCTGGTCGACCAACCCAACGAACAAGGAAGCGCTGAACCTCTCCATCATTAGTGAACACAGTTTCTTCATCTAAAATAGCATCAATTTTATCTGTGTGTGCTGTGAGAGGTGGTAGTGGGTTAGTGGGGGCCAAAGAATTAGGATCAAGGTCCACAAAAGGAGGTAACAGGGGATCATCTGAGGGAATGAAATGGCCTTTATAAGCTACAAGGTCTTCAACATTGAAAGTATGGTGGTAACCAATGTGGGATGGAATGTCGACAATATATGCATTTGGACCAACTTGCTTTAAAATTTTAAAAGGACCAGCACTACGAGCTTGCAATTTGGAGGCGGGGCCCTGTAGACGCCGCTCTGGCCTAATGCGAACCATAACGTAATCCCCAACATTAAACTCAATATGTCGTTTATGTAAATCAGCTTGTAGTTTATAATTTGCATTACTAGCTTTAAGTTGTTTATTGATCTCAATGTGCAAATCACGAAGGTGTTGTGCAAATGCTTCGGCTGATACTAATACTCTAGCCTGTGGGGACATAGGGATGAGATCTAATGGTTTCCTAGGCTTGTATCCGTGAACGGCTTCAAATGGACTCATACCTAATGAACGATTTACGGAGCTATTATACGCGATTTGAGCGACAGTAATGATTAAATCCCAATTCCGAAGGTTCTCCCGGACCAGACAACGTAATAAGTTACCAAGACTCCGATTAACAACTTCGGTCTGACCGTCAGTTTGAGGGTGGTAGGCTGTAGAAAATTTTAATTTGGTACCCATCTTATGCCACAAAGTCCTCCAAAAATGGCTAGTGAAGCGAACGTCCCTATCGGACACGATGGTCTTGGGAAGCCCATACAGTTTGACAATCTCATTAAAGAATAACATGGCAACCTTGGACGCATCCGATGTTTTGCTACAGGGGATAAAGTGAGCCATTTTCGAGAAACGATCGACAACCACGAAAATAGAATCATGCTTCTTTGGGGTGCGTGGCAGGCCTAGCACAAAATCCATACTAACGTCTTGCCAAGGACAATTGGGGACGGGGAGAGGAGTGTATAGGCCTGTGTTCTGCTTCTTCTGTTTGGCCAATTGACAAGTGTTACATGTACTAACAATTTTAGCCACATCTCTCTTTAAACTAGGCCAATAGAATTGGCGTTCAACCTCCTCAATGGTCTTATCACGCCCAAAGTGACCGGCTAACCCTCCCGCGTGAACTTCCCACACTATAAAATCTCGCACTGAAGTTCGAGGGATGCACAACTTATTGGCTCGAAAGAGATAACCCTTCTCAAGTCGAAAGCCATCTGTGCTGTTTGATTGTCCTCTTTGCAAATCGAGAAAGATATCCTTAAAATCTGGGCATGCCTCGTAATCCTCCTTAAGCCTTTCAAAACCAATGACTTTGACACTCATGATCGACAAAAGGGAGACACGACGACTTAACGCGTCAGCTGCTTGGTTCTCCACGCCCTTCTTGTGTTTTAAAACGAACGAATAGGCCTGCAAATATTCAACCCAACGTCCATGCCTAGAACTTAATCTCTTCTGAGAGTTGAGGTAACGGAGGGCTTCGTGGTCCGAATAAAGGACGAATTCTTGGGGCAACAAGTAGTGGCGCCAATAGCGCAAAGCCTGGACCACCGCATACAGTTCCTTATCATACGTTGAATATCGTCGTTTGGCCTCATTTAACTTTTCACTGAAATAGGCGACAGGGTGACGATCCTGACTTAAGACTCCGCCTATACCTACCCCAGAAGCGTCACATTCAACTTCAAAGACTTTGGAAAAATCGGGAAGACGCATGACAGGAGCTTCTATCATTCGCTCCTTGATTAACTTAAAGGCCTTCGCCACCCCGCGTGTCCAATGAAACTCCCCTTTTTTCATGCACTCCGTGATAGGCGCCATAATAGTGCTAAACCCTTTAATAAAACGGCGGTAAAATGTAGCTAAGCCGTGAAAGCTCCTGACATCATGAATGGCCTTAGGCTCAGGCCAGTCAATTATCGCCTGAATCTTAGTAGGGTCAGCAGACACCCCTGTCGACGAGACGATGAACCCCAGAAAAACTACGCTATCAGTGAAAAAGGAACATTTCTTGACATTAGCATACAGGTTAGTCTCGCGAAGGGTAGAGCAAACTTGTTTGAGGTGGTCACGGTGTTGCTCCTTAGTTTTACTATAGATGAGGATATCATCAAAGTAGACAACAAGAAATTTACCCATGAACGGCCGAAGAGTTTGTGTCATTACCCGCATGAAGGTACTCGGCGCATTACTTAGCCCAAAAGGCATGACCAGCCATTCATAAAGGCCATCTTTCGTCTTAAACGCGGTCTTCCACTCGTCCCCTGGGCGAATTCTAATTTGATGGTACCCACTCTTTAGATCGATCTTTGAAAAGATTGTCGCGCCAACCATCATATCCAGCATATCATCAAGCCTGGGAATGGGAAAACGATACTTCACCGTGATCCTATTGATAGCGCGACTATCCACACACATTCTCCAAGATCCATCCTTTTTGGGCGTCAATAGGGCGGGGACAGCACATGGGCTTAAACTCTCACGAATGAATCCTTTGTTGAGGAGGTCATTCACTTGCCTTTGGAGCTCAGCGTGCTCGGTAGGATTCATCCTATAATGTGGCAAATTTGGAAGGGATGCGCCGGGGACGAAATCTATGGCATGTTGAATATCTCTTAGCGGAGGTAGATGATCAGGTAGGTCCTCCGGAAAGACATCCCGAAACTCCTGAAGGATTGATTGGACTTCCGCAGTATCCTCACTTGTGGAGTTAGATGAAACCTCCATGACTACTAAGGCGAACACAATTGAGTCACCAACAATTGTACGCTCAAACTCTGTAGGACTAATGATATGCAACCCCTTTTGTTCCACGCTTTTCTTCGCTTCTAGTGAACCAGCTGGCTTTGGGGGTAGTGGGTTAAGGTGAATCTTCTTTCTATTAAGCACGAAGGAGTAGGAATTGGATCGACCATATATGGTTACATCTAGGTCAAATAGCCAAGGTCGTCCTAAGATGATGTGTCCGACGTCCATCGAAATAACGTCACACCATATATGGTCCTTATACTCCAGGAACTGGATAGGGACTAAACAACGCTCCTTAACAGCTATAGAGGAGGTGTCAACCCAAGAGACACTATAAGGTTGGGGGTGAGGAACAGGCTTCAACCCTAGACGGGATATAATAGCCTTCGAAACCGCATTAATACAGCTGCCACTATCCACGATAACTTTACAGCCCTTGTTATTAATCTTGATGTAGGTGTGGAAGATGGCATGACGGCGCCAATCGTCGGCATCCTTAGGCTGGGTGAGGGTGCAACGGACGACACCGACTCTGGGTGTATGTGGGATAATGGGACTAGCCTGAATACAACCTAAGAAGGCATCCTTACTGTCCTCCAAGTCTTCAAACTCTTCTAACTTAGGCTCATAAACCTGATCCTCTAGTGGTTCGACGACTATACCCTCACGTTCGTCCAGAACTAGGGCTCGGCTAGGGCACTTAGAAGCAATGTGACCAAAACCCTTACAGTTGAAGCATTGCAAACGGGAGGATGTCCTTGAAACCTCAGAACCTCTACCTTTGCTATCCGATGCAGGGGTGGTATTAGAGGGAGGAGGACCTAAAATAGACTTAGGGGATGGCGTGGAGGCAGATGAGGTTGTAGTGCGGGAGTCACTACGATTTCTATACGGTGTCCTAGTCACTAATTCATAATCCCGAACGAAAGAGTAGGCGTGGTCAAGAGTGGTGACACCCCTAAGGACAAGCTCGCGCCTAAGTTCGTCTTTTAAGCCTTGCCTAAACCTATTTAAAGTCATAACTTCATCCTCAACAACCTGACATTTCATTCGAAACTCATCAAACTGAGCGACATATTCGATCACAGGTCGGTTGCCTTGTGTAAGTGCGTTCCATTGATCCAGCAAGTTACCCCTATAAGATTGGGGTAAATATTTTTCTTGAAGGCGACGCTTCATTTCATCCCAGCTCCCAACAGGGGGAGCATGACGCCGTTCAAGGAGGTCCTCAACACTCCCAAAAGAGCTGAGCAGTGCCAGTTAACTTCAAACTAGCAAATTGTACCCTCCGATCTTCCGGGACCCCATACCATGCAAAGAAGCGATCCATATCTCTAACCCATTGATTGAATGCACTAGGATCTAGACAACCGTCAAACGTAGGGGCATCCAACTTAATGTTTCGAAAGAGGCGCTCCTCGTGGCGAGGGGGAGATTGTGTACCATGACGGTAATACCCCCGCTCTCGTTCCCGAGCCTGATTCCCTTCCCTACGACCATGTCGGGCGTGGTGTCGACCACCTTGTGGGCGACGATGAGGCCTATTAATGGAAGCCTCAGAGTTCTCAGCCTCAGTCGAATATGGGATTGGGTCAAGAGTATTCAACTTAGCGGTTAGGGCTCTATTCTCTTCACGAGTAGCGGCTACCTCAGTTTGGACAGCTGTTAGTTGATTTTGTAATTGTGCAAGCTGTCTGGTGAAGGCCTCAATTTGGGCGGGGTCCATGGTAAGGTTACTAAAACTAGAGGCAGTAACGCGACCACTACGCAATTGCATACACGGTAACACGATTACGTAAAGTGCACTACTGAGATCAATAATCAACAATCAACTAGTGCCAATCGAAGAATTAGTTATTGAAATTATTAGTATTATTATTTATTCATTTATTTATTTTGTCAATTTAAAGTTTGGGGTTACTTATGGCTCGATCGCAAGCTAATACTACTAATACTAATAAAATAGAAAAGCAAATGTCCAAATACTAGGTCTAGTCACGTGGGGTAAACGATTGAGTAATGGAATTTAGTTCGTGAAATATAATCGAATAGGTTTAAGGCAGTATTATCAAAGGGCTAGTACATATCAATGGAATTTAGTTCGTGAAAGACAATCAAATAGGTTGAAGGCAATATTATTAAATGGCCAGCACACAACGAGTTAATTGATGCAATTCTAAAATAAAGAAATAGCGTCAACTAAAATAAATAGGATCAGGAACTCCCTGAGTACTGTTGGTTTGAGTCGTCCCAGCGTCGAATGTTTCCACGTTCTGAACTACTAAGCCCTGAGATGCCAAGGTAGGGAATTCCGTGCTCGTCGAGGTGCGGTACTGAACAGTCACTTAAAATGAACCTGTAAATGATGTCAAAAAAAATTAAAATTCACGATACTTTTTTTTTTTTTTAATAATAACACAAAATCAGAATAACAAAATAATAAATGAGCCCATTTCACAAATTTGGGCTTAAATTACAATCAAAATATCAATCAAGCCCAATCCCAATTGAAATTAAGCCCAACCCAATTGATACAAATAAATCAGCCCAATTGAAATTTAGCCCAAGCCTAATTGTTAACTAATAAACCAACCCACTTAATTATTAAACCAATTAACCCAAACCCAACTAATAATCAATAACTCAACCCACGTAATTCTTAAGCCAATTAACCCCTAACCATAACTCATAACCCACACCCGACTGCAATGGGAGCCGGCGGCTGGGATGCGTAAACTCGAAGGAGAGTGTCAAACTGTGGGGCGCCGGTCTACTGGCGGCGACGCCTTGGGTCGCGCACTCGGCCGCGGCAGTCTTGTGGTTGGGTGATTGTTGGGTGTCGACAGGGGTGAAGCATGAAGCAAGTAGCGCCGTCGATGAGGTGACCGCAGTAGGGTGCTGCCTTTGCTGGTAGTTTCTGGTGGCTTAGTAGATTGTGTGTGGGGTGGTTACTGTTTGTAGCAGTGTATATAGGTGTCGTGGTACAGTTGATATTCAACAGCTACGGGCAGGAGGCGATTTTGAATTGTTGTTTTTTTTTTTGCAGTAGCCGGTTTGAAGTGTGGAGAATATAAAGTGGGGGTTTGTTGCAGGTTATGGTTGCTGTGGACGAGTTGGATAAACGGGTGTGCTATATGGCGGTTGGGGATGTGGAGGCGTGAACTGGATTCTGCTGAAACGAGAACTGGGTTCTGCAAGTAAGTATATTGTCTGCAGCAACGGGTTTTGGTATGGATGGTGTGTGAATTGCTGTCCGGGATTTGCTCTGATACCAATTTGATGCAGGGAGATTAATAAATCTGTGAATAACAAGAAGGGATGGGGGAGGGAAGAGAAGAAGAATACAGAGGAGGGGAAGAGGGGAAAAACGGCTGCAAGCGAAATCTTTAATTAATCAAATTCATCATCCCAAATAACAATGTAAGATAGGTTTAAATACTGGAAAATAATGCAAACCTAGGGCCAAGCCCAATACAAAAGTCCATAAAATTAAAATAACCTAAATTCCAACTAAAATAATTAAAATTGCTAAAATTAATTAAAATTGGATGTCCTCATCAGAAATACTCCAAATGTTAAGAGATTGAAAGGACTACTTATTTTATTGATGTGGGGCTCGTTTATGTATCACCAGTAATATAACTTATAGTTCTTAGCTTTGTAGGTCCCATCTTAATATTATATAATAATTGAAATTTGCCTTTTACAAATTTTTTACTTTTTTATTTTACTAGCTTAAAAATATGTATTAAAGTGAAAGATTACTATTATGATATGATATAAAATTACAACATTCAATTTTCTTTATTTTTTATACATAGGGATGGCGGCTCGGCCCGTTAACCCATGAGCTCGGCTCAGGCTCGTGTGGAGCCGAGCTCGTGGCTCGTAAAACCCAGCTTGAGCTCAGCTCGTTGGTCGAGGACGAGCTCGGCTCGGCCCACGAGCTTGTGAACTCACAAGCCACGAGCTTGCAGGTCGAGCCGAGCCCATGAGCCGCTCGTAAGTGCGTTATTTTTTAAATTTATTTTGTTTTTTTTGTAAATTTGCACATTTTTTTGACTTTTTTTTTTTTTTTAATAATAATACAAAATCAGAATAACAAAATAATAAATGAGCCCAGTTCACAAATTTGGGCCTAAATTACAATCAAAATATCAATCAAGCCCAATCTCAATTGAAATTAAGCCCAACCCAATTGATACAAATAAATCAGCCCAATTGAAATTTAGCCCAAGCCTAATTGTTAACTAATAAACCAACCCACTTAATTATTAAACCAATTAACCCAAACCCAACTAATAATCAATAACTCAACCCACGTAATTCTTAAGCCAATTAACCCCTAACCATAACTCATAACCCACACCCGACTGCAATGGGAGCCGGCGGCTGGGATGCGTAAACTCGAAGGAGAGTGTCAAACTGTGGGGCGCCGGTCTACTGGCGGCGACGCCTTGGGTCGCGCACTCGGCCGCGGCAGTCTTGTGGTTGGGTGATTGTTGGGTGTCGACAGGGGTGAAGCATGAAGCAAGTAGCGCCGTCGATGAGGTGACCGCAGTAGGGTGCTGCCTTTGCTGGTAGTTTCTGGTGGCTTAGTAGATTGTGTGTGGGGTGGTTACTGTTTGTAGCAGTGTATATAGGTGTCGTGGTACAGTTGATATTCAACAGCTACGGGCAGGAGGCGATTTTGAATTGTTGTTTTTTTTTTTGCAGTAGCCGGTTTGAAGTGTGGAGAATATAAAGTGGGGGTTTGTTGCAGGTTATGGTTGCTGTGGACGAGTTGGATAAACGGGTGTGCTATATGGCGGTTGGGGATGTGGAGGCGTGAACTGGATTCTGCTGAAACGAGAACTGGGTTCTGCAAGTAAGTATATTGTCTGCAGCAACGGGTTTTGGTATGGATGGTGTGTGAATTGCTGTCCGGGATTTGCTCTGATACCAATTTGATGCAGGGAGATTAATAAATCTGTGAATAACAAGAAGGGATGGGGGAGGGAAGAGAAGAAGAATACAGAGGAGGGGAAGAGGGGAAAAACGGCTGCAAGCGAAATCTTTAATTAATCAAATTCATCATCCCAAATAACAATGTAAGATAGGTTTAAATACTGGAAAATAATGCAAACCTAGGGCCAAGCCCAATACAAAAGTCCATAAAATTAAAATAACCTAAATTCCAACTAAAATAATTAAAATTGCTAAAATTAATTAAAATTGGATGTCCTCATCAGAAATACTCCAAATGTTAAGAGATTGAAAGGACTACTTATTTTATTGATGTGGGGCTCGTTTATGTATCACCAGTAATATAACTTATAGTTCTTAGCTTTGTAGGTCCCATGAGTTTCTTCTGTAAACTAGAAAAACAAAGAGAGAGGGTACAATCGAGCAATTATCCATAACTTCACATCTGAAGCATTTATATATATTTACGAAAAAGGTTTTTATTTGATGCATCCTAGATTTTTGCACCTTCGTCAATTGAATCTAAAAGCATGAAGAACAATGGTGCAAAGAAAAAGAATCCATTTTCTAAGAGTCTCGTGTCATAGTTTGATCGTCTTTTCTTATTAAGAGATGTAAAGTATAATCTTAAATGTTTCTTTGAGTATGTTCTGTTCTACTCATTGATTTGGTAGACAATATTGCATTTTGACAAGCATTTAAGTACCAATTGCTTTAACAAATGCATACCTTACTGGAGGTCACAAGTATGTAAGTGTCAAATCATTCAGGCTAGGAGAAACAAGAGGAGTTCGTCTATATTTTTGTTGGGTCAATTTTTGTGAATTCATCTTGTAGTGGTGTGTAAGACATACATCGGGTGTATCCAAGTACTTGATAGAATTGTTGATGCATAAGCATTCTATTTTTCTGATGGAAAGGAAGAAATCGGTGATGCATAAACATGAAGCATACTATGTTTCATTTGGCAAGGAAGACCATATGCAATCTACTAAGATAAGATATAATTGAGAAGAAATCTGGAAATTCAAGTTCTTTCTACCAGTAATCAAATATCTGAAGTGATGTTTGTGTTGTAATTATTTTGAGTTGAATTCTGCAAAATGTTAGATATTTATGGACGGGATATGCCTTTTAAGGGCTTCCAGGGAGAGAGAGCATATCAATGATGGGATCTTGCGTGCTTGTTTTGATTATTGATTATCCCAAAAGTGCTTCCTCTAAAAATGCAAAGAGCTTAAGAAAATGATTATTAATGAACTTAAGGACTCTTTGCTAGCCTTTTCGTCTTCATAATGTTCTGTTATATGCCGTTTATATCGACAGGTTGTGAATTTTCTACTGCGTGGTTGGATCAGAAACCTTGAGTCGAACAATTCCGTAGCATTACCTCTGCTTGATAACCCGGATGATGTCAATTATGATGTTGTCGCAGACTTGGAATTTAAAAGAGAAAGGTCTAGAAAATCAGTAAGAGTACAATTCCATGGCTCCAGGTTCTCTTTGTGGAGTTGGTTGAGCTCTCGTTTCAAACCACTACTTGAAAGGGGACTAATCAACTCAATCAAATGACCTTCTGTGCTATTGTTCATAAGATCATATGGATTCTGTAATATTTTGTACATTCATGATTATTATGTGTATGGTTACCAATAGTAATTTGTCTCTCGTTCTACTAGATAGAATTTCTTGAGGTCAGTTTAGATACGCATTGTATCTAACGATAGAATACACTTGAATATATATTTATAAAGGCGAGTAAGTTTATATCTTGTGTACGAGTCTGGTTATTTGCTGAGGACAATTTTCTGAATTGAGGACAACTCTGTATGATGATGTATTTAATCACTGCAATTGTTACTGAAGTGAACACTGCTTCAACTTAAAAGAAAAAAAATGAAACAGAGTAAGCAAAGAGCGTGGAGGGATTCATATAGTTAAGATTCTAAGTTTATATCTTGTGTACAAGTCTGGTTATTTGCTGAGGACAATTTTCTGAATTGAGGACAATTCTGTATGATGATGTATTTAATCACTGCATTTGTTACTGAAGTGAACACTGCTTCAACTTAAAAGAAAAAAAATGAAACAGAGTAAGCAAAGAGCGTGGATGGATTCCTATAGTTAAGATTCTAGCTTGTTCGCAGTAAAAATGACACCTGGTCACTACTCTAATTTTGCACATTCAAATCTCAAAAAGGAGTTGATATTTTGTGCCCAAACCAGATAAGTTTACTGAGACGTGTACCCAGTGCTTCAGCTTCTCAGTTTTCAAATAAAAATAAAGTGCTCAAAGATTTGTTTTATGGCACCAAAAATCTTATAACACAGCAACAAACAAATAAATACTGGGATTTCTACCCTTTTTTTTTCAGGCACGCATTTTCTTCGTTAAATTCTGATTCTCTTCTCCACTTGGAAAGATTTGAAGCATAAGATCCTGTTTTCTTGACTGACTTTTATCTTTCTGTATAGAATTTCAGTATGGGATTTCTGTTATTGCTCAAGAAAGTTGCTTTTCTTCTGATGATTGATAATGGCTTGTTTGTTGCTTTGTAGGTTTAAATTCTTTGTTGAATTTATGCTACGGGCACATCTAAGGTTCTGCTCTTATGGCTATCATCTCTTTGCATATATTCTTGAATGAAATTTTTTACTTTGTATCATCTATTTCTTGATTGAAAAGATTGGTCATTGGTTGTGAATTTAGGATAAATTAGCTTTTTAAGTAAGCAAAAGGGCATTTCGTTACATTGATTTTCTCAAGTTTTGGGAAGTCCAGCAAGAAAATTTCACCTTGTAATAGGGTTTTAGGAAGTTAAGAAATTGTGAAACCAGCAACTCATAAAGAAACTCCAAAGGCAGGCTATTCTGAAAACTGAGATTTTGGGGCAAAGGGTTCTTTTTTTGGATCTAAGAGGAAAGATTCACAATAAATTGGGGACTTTCCCCTTGCAAAAACTGTGAAATAAGGAAGGAAATTTGGGGGATTCAATCTTCCAGTGAGAGTAATTTGCCATGTTTGGCTGGTTCATCGATACCAATTGCTAATATAGGTGGATGTGGAAAAATGCTGGCTACTTGGGAAGCAAATTGCGAGCCACCAACCATTGATTGTCAAGCCAATGAACACAATGTGGGAAGTGCTCAAAAATGCTTCGAAGGCTTAATGCATCTCGAGCAGGTTAAACACGGTGAGAACTGAAGAGAAATTTTTGATTATCAATTTTAGCTATATGTCCAATATACGCTCATTTATCTTTATATCTTTAATTTTTCATTTTAACTTTACATTTTTATGTGTATCGTCAATAATATCCTTAAAATTAAACTTATTTTAACTAAATTCAATTATTATAAAAATTAATATTATTTATTATTTTTCAAAATTAAGTCAATCAATTTCCACTAAACATTATTATTACCAATTATCAATATATGATTAATAAAAACTAGTATAAAATAAAAATTATAACAATACTCTATTTTTTAATCGAAATTTACTTGCATCCAATTTAGTAAAATAATAATAATAATAATAATAATAATAATAATAATAATAATAATAATAATAATAATAATTCTTTGTTTACTCAACTTGAATTTTGTATATTTTGTCTTTATGATATTCATTGATTAATTGACATGTTTTTCTCTTTATTGTTACAATTGTACAGTATGCGAATGTTAGTTTTGAGGAAGCGAAAATTCCAATGCCACATTTTCACTTGCAAGAAATTTATGTACAAATTGTTAGTCTGAAAAGCAATTTGGTGCTTATGGGAATTTGTATGTTTTTTTTAACTTAAACATTGAATAAGAGAAAAAATTCATCAAAATCTAAATTAGATTCTCATAAATTTCGAGTGGTCATATTCTCAGAATTTTTAATCTTTACAAGTTTGATGCAATACACATTTCCATGGAATATTTAATAATTTTTGAGTTATTAATTTTATTGATTATAGCCATTCCCATAATTTACATAAATTATTTTAGTTGTACAATTGAAGTTGACAATGTGCTCATAGGAGGGGGATCCACGATTTTTTTAATTTAGTGTGTGCCCCATCCCATGTCTGTTGTTGTCAACTTCAGCTATACATGTAACATCACTGAATTTACATTAACTATGTATTGTTACCTTTAATTCATATGACAAATCCTTTTTTTTTTTTTTTTTAAACTAGATTTTGACTACTAATCATTAAGAAGGCTCTTGAATGCATAGCCTTTCAACTTTTTTTCTCGAATATTTGGTTTTGAGACAAAATTATAGTTAAAAATTAATTATGTAAATCATTTAATTTCATAATTAAATAGTTAAAGTTTTATGTCACATCCTACAATTTTTTGTCTGAATATTTTTGATATTTTCAAATTTTGTAAGCATTTCAAAAGCCTTTTTTTTTTTAATCAATTATAACTATAGAACAATAGTCATATTATTATATTGAAAAGTGTATATTTTAAATTTTAATAATATCTTGTTAAAATAGTGGTATTTGATGTATTAAAAATTTTAAGTATCATTAATACTTATTAAAGTTATATAAATATTACTAAAAATATTAACATTATTAAATATTGAAAGATCTTAAATTTGACTTAGCCCTTATTTGATCCCCGT